CTTTTCATTTGGAAGACTTTTCTCATGTCAGATATTTCAAACAAAGTGAATGATTACTGGACTAATCCATTTCCTTTCATTCCCATAGCCTTCCTGTCATTTGTAAGACTCAAATGATACACAGTGAAACTCAGGCTGAGATTTAATTGTGTGTGTTTGCCAAAGTAATCAATGGCCTAATTTCCACAACCCTATCCAGCAGATAAATATCTCTGAAAAAAAATCAGGCTTCAGAGACCATGAGAGGAAGCCACTCTGCCTTTTTCTCCTGTGTTAATGTCATCTGTAAAAGAGGAAAAATTATATTTTTTTAAAATTATGTCAATTTTCTTTAATTACCCAAGGTCCCCCAGAAAAACTCATATTGTTTCTATCCTGTTTTGTTTGTAATTTCTGTAGATAACAAGAAAATCTTGGGAAAGATGGCATAATTGCTCAATTAAAACACTTCATTGTTGGTGATATGGCATCATTTATACCTGAGTTTAATAGTTCTCTTTTTACATAGATGGGCACAACTCAGGTGCCTACTGTGTTAGCTGGTAGCTGTGTAATTCTTGAGACAAGGACTAATAATATGATGAAATAGCAGGTCATGAGCAAACACAGGAATTTGCTGCCAACCTTTGAAGTAGTGTGAGAGATTGTAGATAATTTGGCACTCATAAGTAGAAAGGGAGCAAAGGTATAAAAAATGTAAACCAAAAACCTGTGCAAATATAATAACAAATTTATATAGTTAATGAGTTCCTCCAGGAAATGGAAAATGCATGGGCAGAGGAAAAGGCAAAGGCTGAGGAACAGACCCTGGGGGATTCTGTGGATCAGAGAAGGGAGCATCTGAAGGAATGAGATGGAAACTTGGGAGAACCAACACAGTTTGATGGAGTGGTATTGGATGTCGCTGAATGCTAATAGGATGGATACATCCTTTCAGATCTGGCTAAAAGAAGCTTTTCTCTATCTTTTTTTTTTGAGGCTGCAAGTCGGCTTTTGGGAAATAGAAGGATATGTAGGAAATAGAGGCATCATTTGAGTGGGACTGTTAAAAGAATTTTAATAGTCATTTTAATTTTAATGATTTATAATGGTAGTATTGTGTTACATTAATGGTTAGCAAAATAAAATTATAATGATTTTGCTAACCTTTAATGTAACACAATACTACCATCCTATTTAATGAATGAATTTAGATTATTTTAAAATTTAAAGCATTATTATAAACTATAGAAAAGAAATGGTCAAAAGATTTCTCTTATGAACTTTGTCACAAAACTAGATGGGTCCCAAGGAATTCATATGCACTGGCTAGGCATGTTTCTAAACCAATCCAGAAGATATCTGTTTATTTTCAAGATGATTAAAGAAAGATATTTGGCAGCTTCCCCAGTGACCTATGATGCTCTAAGAGCACTCACTTCCTTTTACTTAACTAAAATATAAAAGTACAGAGAGATAAAACTCTCCAACGCGCCAGCCAGTAAATGCTCTTGCTTACTATAAACTTGGCTTATCTTATAGAATCAACAATAAAGAATGATGTGGGAGCCATAAACTGCCATCTCCTGGCAATAGTATCCTGTTATGAACATTGGCAGATTGAAGATGTAGTTCCTCAAAGGGACTTAAGTACTTGGGGCACAGTTCCAGGGACATTGCGTTCTACTAGACATCAGCATTTTCTACTGCATGAACACCACAGCCCTTTAGAGATTAAAGGCCACTTTGGGAAGGTAGTAAGGTTTCAGAGTATAGGCACAAAATAAACTTGACCATTACTCTAGATTTTTTATTTCCTTTTACTTTTAAAGAACAGTGGTCATTTAGAAATATTCCCAGAGCTCCTGCCTCACACTCATAGGTCGTGAAGGCATTTCTGACAGAGAAGTGGTTTAGGATGAAAAAACTGCTGACACTTTGGTGAGAAAACTAAAATCAGGATTAGGGGACCAAGAGGTTCCCCACTGTTAGGCAGCCAAGAACACCTTCCAGGCCCTCCTACTGCAAGACTTTAGGGATTCACACATGAAAAAAGTAGTCTTGAGTTGTCTAGTCTATAAGTAGGTCATGGAGGAAATGAGCTCTTTCAGGCAACTTGTGAAAAAGGAGAAAGTGTCATGTAGGTGCCATTTCCCCACATACAGGAATTTCTTTTTAGCAGGTTTAGGTTTTCTGTGGAATGAGAACAGAGAAGCCAGAAACCGATAAGGGTAAAATGAATTGATGAAATGTTTTATCTACTTGGTGCCTTTGTCAACATTGGATCAAAGTTTATGTTATGGGCCTTTATGGTCTTCTTTTAGAATATTCCATGACACTCATTCCTAAAATGAAAGCCAGGCCAGATTTTCCTCTCTCCCTGAACTCTTCACTTCTCCTGCCACCTCTGTTTGTTTATCAAGGCTCAGATCACTGGGTCTTTGGAACTTGTGTGACATCTTGCTCACGTTGGCATCTTACTGTGTAGAACTCCATTAGGAATGTGAAGCACATTTTGTTGAAATATAGTTATCATACTTATTGTCCTTAGACTATTGAGAATATTTGTTTTGTAATAAAATATTTATTTTCCAAAGCAAAGCTCAGTTTTGTATTAGACTATTTCTTGAGTATAAATGCATTTATGGAGGAAAATATAGATTCTTCCAGATTTCAGTTAAGGGAAGAATTATGACAAGAGCCAGCTGTTCTGAAGGCTGCTCCTGTGCTATTTCTTACCCCTGGCCTCTCTCCTCTCCATAGCTATTTTTGTGTTCAGTGTAAAATGTCTCTACCCATTTCTCTCAGAACAAGCATTAACATTTTCCAAAGTTGGTCATGTTTCCTCAGCAGTCATCTTATGCCCCTGGAGCTTCTTAGTTTCTATTTTTACTCCTTAGAAACGGAAGAGATACATGTGGAAGATTTGTAAGTTTTACATTTCCATGTTCTCTTTCTTTTAGTTGTGAAGTTTAAAATGTATCTAGAACAAACCTATCTCCACCTTACATCAAACATATAGGAGGCAGGAATGCATGTTTTATGAGCAAAAGCATTGAGAGAAGGAAATTTCCATACTACGATTTACTAACTACTATTGCTGGGCTTTAGTTTCCTCATTTGTAAAATGGAAATATTAATACTGCTTCCCTTTACAGGGTTGGAGTGAGCATTACATGAGATAATGCATGTGAAGGGCTAGTGCCAGACTTGGAGAAAGATCACAATAGATGTTCGTGATGACGGTGGTGATGATGATAAAGAATTTGGGGTCTCAAAAAGTTGTATTGCAGCATTAGAACATAACATTTGCAGATAAGAAATCAGATCACATAATCTGCCAGGGTTATTTGAATCTGCTGTGTGGAAGAGAAAATTACTTCTCTGTCACTTAATGGCTACAGTATATTCTCAGTCTATTGAGAGGTATGCATGCACATGTTTGTCATGTCTCCTGTCCCGGTCTTGATCATCAGGCGTTTTTCTTTAGCTCTTTAAAAAACCCGGCACAGCTCTTAATATTATGCAGTGCATGCGGTAGGCTTTCTACAAATATTTATTCAGTTAAAAATCAAATTATCCTGCAAAATTGTACTAATACAAAGATTTTTGGAAAAAACGAAAAGATTTTGACCTCATGGAGTGTTACAAGGCACTTACTTTTAAAGTAAAAGGAATTAAATTAGCAAATAAGACCTTAGAAATTACCTGGACCTAGTTTCTTTTACTAAGGATTTACTCTCCACTCACCCTTGCTTTTGCTTAGCACAGTGCCTGTCACACACTGAAATGAGGTAAATGGCTGTTAATAATGAATGAGCCATCTTCATATTAGTAGTCTTGGTACCAAGCGCTAGAAACCAACTCGGGTTAACAAGAGGAAATTTACTGAAAGGATATTAGAGGACCCACAGAATTGACCTGAGACTAGCAGACCACACTTGAAAGTGAACAGAGAGCATTGGCTTTGTAGCAGGAAGCATCTACTCAGAACCCACAGTCCACTTTCTTCTATTCTTGGGTGACCCACTCTAGGGTCAGAATTCTCTGGGTGTGTAATGGTTTAGCTCATATCACAGGCTCGCAGCCAGGCTGTACTAGGAGCAGAGGGTTGTGGGGAGGGAGAAAGGATCTAACCCATCACTTTCTGTAATGGGAGATGGCACCTGGGACCATCCTCCCTACACAGCTATACACAGAGGAAGAGAGGCAATTTTCTAGGAAGATGCAAGAGCACTACTAGGAAAGGGGAATGGATGCTGGGCAGCCCAAAATGGCAAGTGCCTACTATTCCATATTTGTAGTATTTTGATTCTTTATATGAGGCATAGTCTGTAGTCTAGCCAGTCTTTATTTAACCCATGTAGACCTTAAAACAGTCTGAGATATTCTACTTTGTGATTCCTGCCTATACGTGGTCTAAAGACAGTCCTCCATATCATCATCCTACTCTCATCTAAGTGGGAACATATTTTCCAAGAGATTAGATAGGAACACAGGAGTTGAGAATATTGTAGCGTCAACATTAAAGGGATGAACTACCTTTATTTATTTATTTATTTAAATAAATAGTAATAAAGTAAACTTATTGCTTCCTGTAAATTAAAAACAGCCAACACGACACCAGGGAAATTTTGCTCATCTCCTTAAAATTTGTAGTCAAGTTGATAGTTTCCACTTGACAAATGGGAAAAATGATCATGTAATTAACCCAAGGCCACGCAGAAGGGAATCAGGATTTAAACCCACTTTCTCTGATACAGATGCCTGTGTGCCTTCAACGCTACGCCATCGACCATTTATATGACATATTTTTGTCAGTTTATCCCTACTTACAGTTGTCTATCTGTTCGTAAAATATATTTAGTTTCCATCAAAGTGAATGTTTCTGACAGAGTAGAGGATTCTATTGCTTTGAAAATGGCTGCCCTAGTTCGGTTGTTTTTTGTTTGTTTTTAGAATGCCATTCTAGTTTAAGGTATTACTGTTTTCAATTAATTCTGTTACCTTTTGTGGTCCAGGGGAAAACTTATCCATTTCGGGGTGCCTTTCCACCAGTATGGAATCCCATTGCGTATTTGGATTACAACAACCTGTGGAGGACAATGGATAACATGGGAAAGGAGGTAAGATATGTGTTCGGTCTGCCCATGACCCATTACTGAAATGATAAAGGCAATTGTTTAATACCCTTTTATGATGCAGGGAACGTTGCTGCAGACGTTAATGCATATAATTTCCAATGCATCCAAAACCCTGCAAAGTTGGTAGTATTTCCACTTGACAAATGGGAGAAAATGAGTGCCAACAGGTTATATAATTTACCCAAGATCACACAGCAAGGGAACCAAGATTTAAACCCACTCTCTCTGATACAAATGCCTGTGTGCCTTCAACTCTGTGCCATAGAGCATTTATGTGACATATTTTTGCCAGGTATCTCTACTTTAAATTGTCTACATGTCCTTAATGCTTTAGATAGTAAAGGAGGAAAGGATTTTCTGCCCCAAAGTTTTTTTTGTTTCTTTTACTTAGTCTCAGGCTCTGTAAACATCCCTCTCTCAAACTTGAATTGGGTACCTAAAATGAGTGTTAGGTTTTAATAATGATGATGATGATAGTGATCATTATCATCATCACATGTAACACTACACATTGACTTATATGTAATTATTACCATAATTATTATTGTTTGGCAATATCTTTAGGGCGTAGAATCCAAAAACCCACCCCCTCCCCTTTTCTCTATGTAGAATTCCATGCCAATCACACATTCCAACACAGAGACCAAGAAACCCATTTTCATAGGTTCTCATGAAAGCCTTCCCTAGGGGAGGTGGCAATTACCATCACACTTGAGTAGGGGACCTCCTTTCTCTGCAGATTCCAGCTGAGGCGCCCTGGGAGGCCCCACATGCTGAGGACTGGGACAAGATGACCATGAAGGAGCTTATCGAAAAAATCTGCTGGACAAAGTAAGTAGAGTTGACTATATAAAATTTACTTTGTAGCTTCCCTTCTTGTCCTTTATAACCTGTCTTGAACTGCAGTGCTTTTTTAAATGACTTGCAGGAAAAAAATTAAGAGGAAACCTAATAATCTTTCGGTCAGTAGCAACTTTGAGGGCACTTTGGACACTTGAAATTAGAACAGAAAATGAATCTAAAATTTAAGAAAAGTAGGTGAATGAAGTAAAACCTCTTTTAATGAAAGGGTTGTGTGATCTGCAATAAAACCAGTAATTGTGTTTTCATATTATGGAAAGGTTGGCTACAAAAGTAGTTAGAAAAGGTATTTGAAAGGTAATTCCAGGCTGGACTTGGTGGCTCATGCCTGTAATCCCAGCACTTTGGGAGGCCAAAATGGTAGGATTGATTGAGTTCAGGAGTTTGAGGACAGCCTAGATGACATAGCAAGACCATGTGTCTACAAAAAAAAAATAAAATAAAAATCAGCCAGGTGTGGTGGTGTGCGCCTGTAGTCCCAGCTGCTCAGGAGGCTGAGGTGGAGGCATCACCTGAGCCCAATAGGTCAAGGCTGCCATGAGCTGTGAGCACACCACTCTATCCTG